AAGGTTTTTACTTTTTTTAAAGAAATTAGAAAATATAATGAATGTAAGAAGCAAAAGGGAAGGTAGTTAAATACAGTTTTAAGTCACAGGTCGGAAGGTACCTTGAAGATCACCTAGTCCAGTGATGGCATTTTGCTGTCGTGTGCCAAAAGCAGGGGGAGTGTGGGGGGGTCGCACACGCACGGGCCCTCACCCGTAATTCAATGTGCCTCGCCCCCCCACACACACGCACATGTGACCCCACACACACACACTCCCCCTGCTTTTGGCACGCAATGGCACGGTGGCCCCCGTAGGCTCGCTTTTCTCCCACCCCAGGCTCCAGAGGTTTTCTTAAAGCCTGGGGAGGGCGAAAAGGGCCTTCCCCACCCCCCACCCCCGGAGGCCAGAAACAGCCCATTTCCTGACTTCTGGTGGGCCCAGAAGGCCCAAAAACCAGCTGGCCGGTGTGCGAATGCGTGCTGGAGCTGAGCTAGGGCAACGCTCGTCTGCCCACAGATATGGCTCTGCCTGCCACCTGTGGCACGCATGCCATAGGTTCGCCATCACGGACCTAGCCCAACCCCCTGCCCAGTGGCTCCCCAACAGAAGACCAGCCTGCCTCTGTTTAAGGAGCACCAGAGAAGCCGCTCTTGCCATTAGGAACGACACCCACCAAAAGCGACTTCCCTCTCACTGAAGCCCTTGACCTTCCGCCTGCCTCCGAGCCAGCCCTGCCGTGTCATCTCCCTGGCAGCCCTTCATCCTGCTAAAGGCACCCAACGCCTCCAACCCATCCTCGTAGCTTCTTCCTTCCAGCCTCCGCCTCATCTGGATTCCTCGGACACCGCCCAGTTTGTCCGTCCCTTTCCTAAAATGCAGAGTGGATGCGAGGAGCAGCTGCACACACAGCCGCAGAGGGAGGGCCAGCCTTCCCTCCACCAACGACCCAGGTGGAGATTCCCACCCTTGGCAGCCCAATGAACGACAGCGGGGGACTTCAAGGAGCAACTACTTGGCAAGGATAAAATGCAAACAATTGGCTGTCCTGGAAGAACAGTTCTTGGCTAATATAGGGAGTTCTCGACTTACAACCATTTGTTTAGTGACCGTTTGATGTTACCACAGCACTGAAAAAAGTGACTTACAACCATCACCGCGTCCCCATGGTCACCTGATCCAACTACACACTTGGCAACTGGCCTTTATTTAGGAGGAGGACAGCGTCCCCAGCTCCCATGAATTTCACTCGCCATCTTCCCGGCACCTTCCCATACGCAAAGTCAACAGGGGAAGACAGATTTGCTTAACAACTGTGGGATTCATTTAACTGCAGTGAATTGCTTAACAAATGGCCGCAAAACTGGGCACCACTCACTTAACAACGGAAATTCTGGTCCCCACTTGGCTGCAAGTCAAGGACGGCCTGTAACTTGCATAAAGTTTATTGATACAAATGAGATATTAATGAAGATTTCATCTTCTTTAGACAAATTATAGGGACAAGCAAAGCTTACTAAGAGTATGTATTTTCTGGTCAACCTAGAACACCAGAGGTGTCCAGCCTTGGCCACTTGAAGACCTGTGGACTCCCCAGCCAGCCAACCATGAATTCTGGGAGTTGAAGTCCCCAAGTCTTCCATCTGCCAAGGTCAGACTGCCTGACCTACGGACTTGCATTAAGCCGACTCGGATAGAGCTGCACGGGTAGCCTGGTCCCTTAGGGCCCCTTTTGCTATTAAGCAGCTCTTCAGTAGACCTGAAAAAAAGCAGGCTGACTGTTCTCAGAGAAGCCACTGATTGATCTCCTTCCCGCAACCGCTCTGAAGAGGCATTGGTGTGCCAGCAGAGGAGAAAATGTGGAACAAGTAAGCCACGCAAATGCCCGCTCCCTTTGCAGCATCGTTCTTCAGGAAAGCAGGGTTTCCTGCAGGTGCCCCTTGGAAAAACAAACACCAGTCATGCCCAGCATGAACTGAAACTGGCAGCCTTAAAATCAAAAGGAAGTCCACCCTTCTCCTTCAAACTTGCCCATCTGGAAGCAGGGCAAGAAGGGCTGCAGGTACTTCTGCTTTTGGGTTATCAGTTTTATGGGTTTGGGTTTTGATTAGGTACAGGCAGTCCTTGACTTACGACAGTTCGTTTAGTGATCAGTTACAATAGCACTCAAAGAAGTGACTGATGGTTTTTCACACTTATGACCGTTGCAGCATTCCCCAGGGTCACGTGATTAAAATTCACATGCTTAGCAGCTGACTCATATTTATGACGGCTGCAACATGGGTCACGGAATCACTTTTTGCGACCTTCTGACCAGCAAAGTTAATGGGGAAGCCAGTTTCACTTTATAACCATGTTAATAATTTAACAATTGCAGTGATTCAGTTAACAGCTGTGGCAAGAAAGGTCATAAAATGGGGCAAAACTCACTTAACTCACTTAACAGAAATTGTGGGCTCCATTGTGGTCATAAGTCAAGGACTATGTGTACCAGAAATGGGCCAGGGCCACTTGGGAGGCAAAAGCCTTCAGGTATAATCGCTTAAGGTCTTGTCAGTTTCAAGCAGAGGCACAAGAGCAGGGGGCTGGGCTCCTCTTACCCACCCCCCTAATGGGGTCTGCCCATTATAAAACCACTGATGGATTGACTGATGAAGCCCGGATTGAAGCAGCTCTCCCGGCACAGGGTTCAAGTAATAAATGATGGCCATGAATGAAAATAGTTTGTGAAAAAAGGGAATACGGACGAAGCCTGGCCTTATACCAAGTTGTGTACTCACTATCCAGTACAGTATTTCACTCAGTTACCCAGGTGGTTTCATTGTTTGTTACGTTTTGTGCATGGCACTATCTACGGAGCTCTGCCGGCTGAGGAATTCTGGGAGTTGAAGTCCACAAGTCTTAAAGTTGCCAAGTTTGGAGACACCCCCCCCCCCAATCCAGAGCCCTGAAGGGGGCACTTAGGAGAGCGGGAGTTGTAGCTTTTTCACACGTTCTTGTATTTGGCACTGGCCACTAGGGGGCACTATAGAACCAGTGTAATCCTATATTGGGACTCTTCAGGTACAGGTAGCCTCAATTTAAGAGCTCTTATCTGTATGTTGACCCCTTTGTGGGGATTTGGACTCTCAGGCTCATTCAGGCCTTGTCTATTCATATGCTGCACAGCATATGAATCTTCCAGAAATCTTCCAGATCTAAAAGGAACCATCCTGATTACAGTCAGCCTCCGGGTTAAGAATGTCCAATTTATGGACAACTCATAGGAACAGGCTGCATATTGCTGTATTAATGCGTGATGGCATTCTTTTTCCTCGAACCAATGAACTACTAAAGGCACACACAGTTTTCTTAAACCACCAAAGCAGCACCTTTTTAACATACAGGCTGGCCTAAAGGTGCTTTTTCAAGGGGCAACTGGGCTTTCTTGTTTTTTCTTTGAAGACGTTTCGCTTCTCATCCAAGAAGCTTTTTTAGCTCTGACGGGATGGTGGGGAATGTCAGAGCTGAAGAAGCTTCTTGGATGAGAAGAGAAACGTCTTCAAACAAAAAATAATAAAGCCCAGTTGCCTCTTGAAAAGCACCTTTGGGGCAGCCACGACCTGGATGGCTGAGAATCTCCATAGGCACTTAATATACAGGCTGTTTCCATCTGTTCGTGAAAGGAAGGAGTCTGCCATCTGCCGTTTTTAGTAACACGCAGGCTGTTCATAAGTACAAATTCCGCCTGGCATAAAAATCTGAGTTAAGGAGAAATTTAGGAATGGTCCCTTTCTTAACCTGGGGGTTGCCTGTAATCCACGAGAGGTAGAAGATCAGAGGGTCTATCAAAAAAGGCAAAGAAAGGTCCGGTTCTGTCACTGCATTTCCTTCCCAGCAGGAAATCTAACTCTGAATGAAGTGGGAGACATCCTGAGATCCTTCTCTTCCAATCTAATCCCTCGTTCTGCTGTGCCCAACAGATACAGACACCCACTCCAAACTAAATACCATTTTTTCCATCTAGAAACAGCGTACCGCACACATCCCTGTAGCCCAGAGGGAACATTATACTGTTTAAATTCAGGGAAAGGGAGGGGGAAATTCTCATCGCAGCCAGGAAGCGCTCACTGAGGGACGTTACACGAAGCAGAAAAACAGAACGATGAGCCACGCAAATGGATAAAATTAAAGTTATGATTCATAACTGTAGGCTAGCAGGATCCTTTCCATCTTGCAGCCTGAGGGGAAGCAGAGGCTGAACCTTATATTTAAGATCCGAGGGAAAGACGTGCACTGACTGGTTGTCCAGAGGCTGCCCTGCCCCGTTCTCCGGCCAACCCAGGTGCCTTCCCAAACCCAGAGGTCAGCAGAGAGGGGAAGGGGCACCAACCCTGAGGCCCCGGCTGAGCAAAGGAAAGCAGAGGCCGCGCCAGAAAAGCAGAAGTGGGGATCTCTCTCGCTGGACCCCAACCCTCCCCATAGCCCCCTCCCCTCCCAAGTGACCCCCAGCCACTGCCAGGGCTCCCCAAAACAGGAGCTGCTCCGCCCCCATCCTCTGATGGCCAAGGGGGTGGCGGGGGGGGCAGCCCGGAGAAGGAGGAGGAATCAGAATAGAGCTGGGGGGGCCCTCCGAGGTCTTCTAGTCCAGCCCCTGCTCAAGCAGGAGGACCGTCCTCAAGGACCCCGGGGGGGGGGGCTCCCAGGGAGGAATGAGGAGAAAGCCAATGAAGCAGAGCAGGGGAGGAGCCGGGAAGGGGGGTCGCCCTCCCCGGCCAAAGGCAGCAGCAGGAACCAGGCGGGGACGGAGGGAGGGGCGGGCAGAAAAGTCAACATGGCAGCCGAGGGGGGGAGGGGGAGGGGGCCCGCGCCCAGGAGAAGAGCCGGTCCTGCGGGGGTCCCGGCCGGGCCCTTCCAGGCAGGGGCTCCTCCTCCTCCTCCGCCTCCCTGGGGCCGGGGAGAGAGCGGGGTCGCTGCGCGGAGCCTTTGCCCGGTGGGGGGAGGGGCGGCTCCCGAGGCGGGGAGTTCCGCAGGGGCGGCACCTGAGGGTGGGCCCGAGGCAGGCCGTGTCGGTGCTGTCGACCTCGCGCAGGATCCGCTCGTGCTCGGCCGCCGTCTCCAGGCTCTCCGGCTCCGCCATGGCGGGCCGCGCCCAGCTCCTCGCCGTCGCAATGGCAACGCCGCCCGGCCACGCCCACGCCGCGCCCCGCCCCGCACGCACGCACGCACGCCCCGCGCCCTCTCTCCTCCCCCGGAAACGCGCCCAGGCGCCCGGCCGTTCCGCCGCGCGCCCGTTCCGCCCCCGGACCCCTACCCGGCTTTCTCCGCGGGCGGGAAGGGGGAAATCCTCTGCCCTGAGGCTGGAGTGCATGACCTCTTAGAACCCCCCTCCCTTTCCCGATGGAGGTATTACATAGGGAAGAGCCTCAAGAGGTCATCCAGTCCACCCCCTGCCACGTCTCTGTCCTACCTCCCCCCCCCCCTTCTCCTAATCCAAGGCTTTCTCGGACTCTCTAGGTCAGAGGCCTTCGAACCTGGCCGCTGTAAGACTCGTGGACTTCAACTCCCAGAATTCTCTATGCAGTCAACTATGCTGGCTGGAGAATTCTGGGAGTTGAAGCCCTCAAGTCTTAAAGCGGCCAAGTTCGAAGGCCTCTGATCTGGATCAAAGCTGTCCCACCTTGGCCACTTTTAAGACTTGTCAACTGCAACTCCCAGAATTCCTCAGCCAGCAAGGGAACATGGGAGTTGGAGTCCAGTAGTCTTACAGTGGCCAAGGTTGGAGAGCCCTGGCCTAGAGCACCTTCCTGACATCCAGCTGGATATTTTTTTTCTCTCTGAAAATTGTGGTTTTCTTCCTATCCCGTAGCTTTTCAGTGTAAATTTAAGTACGGAGTAGATCCACTCCTTGTATTCATGTTGCTGTCTCTCTGCAAGGCAGAAGAGGGCCTTCTGACCTGAGGTCTTTCCAGCAGAGGAGATGGAAGAGCCCTGGAGTTCAGCCCCGGCTCCACTGCATGAGCCGCAGGAGCAACCTTAGCAGCCTCAGGAGGTGGGACTTGCATAAGCACCTGAAGGGCATCCCACAGGTCCTGTTGCCATTGCAACCCCAGGACCACACAGTCGTTGAGCGATGACCTCACGTGGCCACGACACGGGGAGGAACAGAGTCTCGAGCATGCAGGCAGGCTAATGGGTGCCTCCGAATACAGCCAGCTGAAAAGATGGCAAGAGTGGAAGCTACTCACAGGAGCAACTTGCAATCTTCTGCTGGCTTCCCCAATGCCTGTTGCGAGAAGCTGGCAGGGAAGGTTGCAAATGGGCCTCCTAGGACCCCACAGGGTGTCACTATGGCTGCGATTTCAAGGACTGGCCGCAAGTCCTGCTTGTTCAGCACTGTTGTAACCTTGAACATTGGAATGAGTGGATGTAACTCAAAGACAGACTACCGTCCCTTTGGCCTGGCCAGGACCTTTCCGACTTCCCCAAACTGGCCATCCAATCGAGGATTTCCTGCCTTGTACCCTTCAACTTCTATAAAAATCATGGCTTTTCTTTTGTTTGGGATCTTCTTGTGAACTCAACAATCCTTGCAATAGACACAGTTCTTTTCCTCAATGTTGTGTCTCTTTTTCAAACTGAATCCGCAATGACTGGCGGGTTCTGAAGATTTCCAGCATGGAAGGGCTCATCACCTCACATAGGAGCCTGTTTCACAGGCTGACACTTCATAATCAGCAGGTTCCTCCTTGTCTCTCACCTGAAGCTCTCTCTGTGTTGCCACCCACAGTTTCCTTGGCAACAGTACTGCAGGGGCTTCTGATGGCTGCCTGATTTTGCAGTTTCTTCTCCTGGATGGGTTGGCTTCCCTGGCCCTCAGCCCCACTGCAGGTTACTCTTTGCTTGCCCACCCGTTTTGCCCATCCTGGCAAGAATGACTCCATGCTCTCACAGCTCATTCAGGGTCATTGGAGCTACTGAGATATTAATCCCTGGGGGAGAAGCATGTGTGGCAATAAATTAAATATCATCATCATGAAGGAGGAATAATTGCAAAATGTTTTTCAAGGGCTTATTCCTTAGTCTGCCTTTGGTAAATAGAGTACCGAAAGCTGGAAGTCTTTGCATCATGCCTTGGTGGGTGCCTTGGCAGTTACTGCCACCGCCACCTATCTTCCAGGCGATTCATTTACTGACTGACTATCTACCCCTAACACTAGTGTATGAAAGAGATGGGTCGCAGACCTCAACGGCAAGGAAAACGAGTGATAAAAAAGGAAGCAAACTTTTGGTATGTGTGGCCCTAGAGCACCGAGGCATATGACTAAGTACATCAGTCCTTGTTCCTATTCTTTCTTCTGAGCAGACAGACCAATCTCACAAGAGAGAACTAGAATCAAACTTTATTAAAGAAAAGAACCAAAACATCCTTGAATTTACATAGAAAACAAGTGAGCAGAGTCTGTAGAAGTGGAGAGCCACTCAGACTGCAGGCAGCATCTTGGAAGAACCTCAGGCTGAAATATCACCAAAAAAAGATCAGGCTCTAAGCTGATCCCAGGAGGACCTGTTCCTACGGTACGTGAAAGTCACACTGATGCAAAGAGGCGCCAGTTTGCATGAAACACACAAGGATCAGAGACAAAAGAGGAAGCACCCTCAGAGCAAAAGCCTGTTTCTTCCATTAGGAAGGACCCGAACCCCAATTCTCAGCTCCGGTGGAAACAGCAGAATTTCAGCACAGTCAATCACTTTTCTGAGCCTCTGTAACATAATCATGAGATAAACAAAAATTTGCCTTGCATGATATGCTGAATTAAAATCTGTTTAGCTACTGAATGTAGTCCTTGTTCAGTATAGTATCCACCCAGCCAAATCAGGGCATGGGTGCACCGTTTGTCCTTCTTCGGATTATGTCCTTCACATTGAGCCAGGAAGAGGCCGGGGGAGGGGGGGAAACTGGCTGCCACTTTCACAGCCCTTTGGGGCATCCAAAATGGTAGCCAGCTCTCCGCAGGGGTGTTGGAAAGCGGCCAGAAGGCAGCGCAGATTAAACTGCCACTGAATGACAGCCTGTCATAGGGATCCTTCCGCACCATCCAGGCAGCCGGATCCCAGCAGCTGTATTGGCGAAAAGCCAGGGGCACAGAAGTGGCCTGATGGGCTTTCTCATTGGCACATCTGGCCTGCCTTGATTGGGCAAAAGCCTTCTCACCGAAGGCCCAAAGGTCACATCAGGATTCCCAATCTCCGCCCTTCATCCCTCAGAAGAGCCGCGTCTCCCCCAAAGCAGATGCCCAGGGATCCTTGGCCTGCCATTGGGTCGATTCCCCGCTTCCCCCTTCCTCGGGAGCAGCCCGCACAAGTCAAGGGGACGCCGAGCAGAAGCAGCCGAAGAGCCGGACGGGACCTTGGAGTCTGCTGGTAGTCCAAGCCCCGCTCCAGCTTCTCTCCGCCTCCTCCGACGCTGCTGCCGTTCCCGGCTTCCTGGGCGCGCCCTCCGCCGGGGCAGCTGGAGCCGGGGCAGCGGCGCTCGGGAGCCGATGGGAGCCGGGGCGCGGCTGGGGCCGGACGGCGTGCATCGTGACGGGGGCGTCGCGGGGGCTCGGCCGGAGCCTGGCCCGCCTGCTGGCCGCCCGCCTGCCGCCCGGCTCGGCGCTGCTGCTGGTGGCGCGCTCGGCGGGGCCGCTGGGCCGGCTGGAGGGCGAGCTGCGCGCCGCCTGGCCGGGGCTGCTGGTGCGGGCGCTGCCGGCCGACCTGGGCTCCGAGCAGGGGCTGCGGCGCGTGGCCGAGGCGGGGCGGGCGCTGCGAGGGGCCGGAGACCCCCAGCGCCTCCTGCTCATCAACAACGCCGGTGAGAGGCGGGCGCCGCTCGGCCATCGGGGGGGGTCGCGGGCGACTTTGGGCCCCGAAGCAAAGGGGGGGAGGGGAGGGGCTTTCCTTGGACAATGGAGTTGGGCGCAAGGCACTCAGTCCAGGCTCCCCTCCCCCCGCGCCAGCCAGGACAGCCCATAATCCTGGCCGGGTGGCCCCTGGGGAAGATCGCAGTTCTGGGGAGCCCCTCTTCTCAGAAGCACAGAGAGCCAGGCAGAGGGGGGGCCGGGGGGCTTTGGCTCTCTGGGGCTGGAGTGTGTGGGGGGGGGCAGCTTTCAGGGTGGGGAGAGGAAGGGGGTGCAAGGTGCAGCATCTGCCCCAGGAAGGGTGGGGGCAAGGCAGTGGGAAGGAAGGGAAGCTCCCTCCCCTTCTGGCCCAGCAAGCTCAGTGGAGGCCTTCCTGCGAAGGTGAGGGCCTCTTGGGGAGAAGGGTCTGGTCCCCCACTCAACGTCTCCCCTGGCAGCAGCCTGGCTTGCTGGGGTGGGGTCTGCGTGAGAAGTTAGAGGCCAGGATGATGAAAGTGGTGACAGTTAGGATTCTTTTCCTCCCCTCTGCGCCGCCTCTTTCCCCCACCCAACCCTCTGGGCGGCTGAGAAAGAAGGACTGGCTTTCGTGCCTAAGACTAGAACTCCCCGTCTCCTGGTTTCTAGGCCCGCACTTTCCCCACTACCCCACAGCGGGATAAGGCAGTGGTCCTCCCTCCTTCCCAGCTCTGTAATTAGGCAGGTGCTGCCTGCTCCCACCAGTGGGCCACGGGCTTCCCACCCCCGTCCTTGGAGTGGAGCCGGCTCCAGATGTCGTGGCTCATGATGAGCCTCAGCTTGTGACAACCTTGTTACCTGGATTCGGAGGAGTTTGGCTGCAGCTGGGCTGCCCAGGAGGGTTAGGCATATCTGGGGGAAGGCGAGATGCTCCCCACCCCCTCCAAGACCCCCTCTTATGGGTCTGGCTTGGCTCAGCAAGTATTGGAGGCGTTAATTTGATGAAGGTCAGCAAAACAGCTCCAAAGCTTTCATCACAACAACGGCCCACAGTCAGAATCGGGCCCTCTGCTGGGGTTCTGTGGGCCATATTTTCATTGGTGCTTGATTGGCCAGAAGCTGGAGGTGAGCGGGGCCCCTTTCCCTTCCAGCATCTCTGGGCGACGTCTCCAAGACCTTCTCGGACTTCTCCGAGCCAGGCAACGTCAACAGCTACTTAAACCTCAACGTGACCTCTGCCCTCTGCTTGACCGCCTCCGTCCTGAAGGCCTTTCCTGCCCAGCCGGGCTTCAGCCGCCTGGTGGTCAACATCTCCTCCCTCTGCGCCCTGAAGCCCTTCAAGAGCTGGACCCTCTACTGCACGGGGAAGGCGGCTCGGGACATGATGTTCCAGGTCTTAGCGGCCGAAGAGCCGGACGTGCGGGTGCTGAACTACGCCCCAGGTGAGTCCCAGGGGGCCCTGCGGACCCTCTGGCTCTGCCGGGAGTCCCCGTGATTGGCAGCCCTTTTCTGCCCCGCCTTCTTTCTTCGCAGGCCCCCTGGACACCTCCATGCAGGAAGAGGCCCGCAGCCTCTCGGCAGACCCGGAGCTGAGGCAGGCCTTCCTTCACCTGAAGGAATCCGGGGAGCTGATAGACTGCGACGTCTCCGCCCACAAGTTGCTGGACCTCCTGGTGGCAAACACCTTTGAATCCGGTGCCCACGTGGACTTCTATGACACCTGAGCAGCTCTCCATTGGAGGGTCCTTCTCTAAGGCACGGCTTCCTTCCTTAAAAGAGCAGAAATTATTCTCTCTCGGCTCTTTTTTTCATGCATGCTGCAGTAAATAACCTCTGTTTGGAAGTTTTGTATCTGAGGCTGTTGTAGAAGCATTTTGCAAAATTCTGAACTGTAACTGTGCCCCAAAAAAGCCAAAAATTACTCTAAGCTACCTTTGCATTATGTGCGGAAATTGTTGCTCTTCCCAGGGTGGACGGTGGGGCTAAGTGGGGAGGGAGTGACCGGCTTGGCGTTAAGGTTTGCCAGGGACCAGGCTGAGACCGGTGGTTCCCCAGGAAGGAAGAGCTGCACAGCCCCACAGCTGAGGAGACTCTCTGGTGAATTAGGAGAGGTTCTGCCCTGCATCCGCCAGTTCTCCCCCCTCCGTGCTGGACAATGGACTTCCTCTTGGTGGCAGAGAGGGGCCCCTGGCATTGGCCCTGGCCTCGGCCCTGCTTGTGCTGACTGAGCAGCTGCCATCTTTGGTGCCCTAACAGAACGACCTTCTCCAGGAAGACTGGAACGTTATGCAGTAGGTAGAGTTTCCTGCTCAAGCGGGGGGTTGGACTAGAAGATCTCCAAGGTCCCTTCCAACTCTGTTATTCTATATTGTCCCAAAGAGGCTTTTTCAAGAGGCAACTGGACTTTCTTGTGTTTCTGTGAAGACGTTTTGCTTCTCGTCCAAGAAGCTTCTTCAGCTCTGAGCGGAAATCCAGTTGCCTCTTGAAAAAGCCCCTTTGGGACAACCATGGCCTGGATCAGTGGTGGGTTGCCCCCGGTTCTATAGAACTGGTAGTAAAACCGGCGGAAGGCTCCGCCCACCGACCCCAACGTCATCAGAACGCTTCTGTGCAAGCACGCAAGCGCGGCCCCGTTGCAAACCAGTAGTAAAGGTAGGTAGAACCCACCCCTGACCTGAATGACTGAGAATCTCCATAGGTAGTTATTCCATATTCTGCATAGATCCTTGTTTCACCTTCGGGGTGGCTTTAAAGTTCCCCCTGGGGATGCACGCCCAAGCAGGAGGGTCTACCCCACCCCTCCCCAGGTGGCCGGGAGCTCACGGGGGTTCCTTTGCTAGGCCCTCTCACAGACTTTTGCAGTCTGGTCTGCTGTGAGTCGGGGTCAACCTTGCTGGAGATTGGAGCTGGCTGTGGGCCACGCACCTTCCTTCAGCCCCCTCCGGCCAGTCCCTTTTGGGGCCTCTTTGCAGGTCCCTGGAGGAAGAATAATAGGGTTGGAAGGGACCTTGGAGGTCCTCTAGTCTAACCCCCTGCCTGTGGCAGGAGATCCTATTCCGTTCCAGACTTCCTTTGGGCTTGAAGGCAAATCTATGTGTGTCCCAGGATAATGTTGCAGGATCCAACTTTCATGCTTTCAGACTCATGGTGGAGCCCATCCTCAGGGAACTGGTCTCTGCTAACAGAGTATGTCCTTTGGGCTATTCTATATCTAGCATTTATAGGGTGCCTGGTTGGGCGTGGCTGTTTTATTGGTTGATTGGGATGTAGATGGCCAGTTATTAAGCCATTAGCTGTCATTTGCTGGTGCTGCCAAGCCCCCGCCTCCTAAGTATCTGATAAAGCTGGTGGTAAATCAGCAGTCCTGTTGACTGACAAGAGGCTCCTTTCCCAGGCCTCAGTCACTTGCCTGGCTGTTTTTGTAGCTGCTCGGCCAACCATCTTTAGTAGCTGCGAAGTTGAATGCAGGTCCTTGTTCATTGCAATGTGAGGCTACCGGTGAGTTTGGGTCTCCAAGTCTGACCGCTCGCTTGTGTTCTTACAATCTGGTGGTTAGATTCCACCCATCTGCCCTACTTAGTCACAGGACAGGATGGATACACGTTCCAGATACAACATCAAGATAGCATCATCATCACGTCAAGCTGTAACGTTAAGGATATAACATTAAGAGTTAAAAGTGTGTATAACTCACAGTGGAAGCTTACCAGTAGCTTCAATGAATGAAACCATCCAACCCACAAACTCTGCCAGATGTTGCCTGATCCCTAAAGTTAATCATTTATGTAGCCTTCCACTTGATTGCATTGATCACATGTAACCCTGAACTTTGATTGTTGAATCGAAAACTGATGTTTTTGAAGGAAGGAAAGAACCCTACTCGGAGCATTTCTGAACACTTTTATTTTTGTTGCGTTTTAAAATCCCTTAACGCAAGAAGAAGAAAACACATTTAAAGTCATAACCTGCCCTTTTTCCCCCCTTTTCTGAAGGTTAAATAAATTATTTCTGCAAACACGCATATACAAACCCCTCTAATCACCAGCAACAGTGAAAGCGATGAAGGCAGCCCCGTTCTGAGGCAAAAGATAAACTGCAGGTTGGCTTGTATTTCAAATACCAGAAATGATCCTCATAGGTCTATGTAGGTCATTTAGAGCTCAAATTAGAGCAGCTTAATAATAAAACACCTGCAATACCTGCTATGTCAATGTGATACTGTACAGGTGGTCCACAACTTACAACAGTTCATTTAGTGACAGTTCAAAGATACAACGGCACTGAAAAAAGTGACTTACGCCCCTTTGTCACACTTAACGACCGTTGCAGCATGCCCATGGGCACGTGATTGGAATTCAGATACTTGACAACTGACTCACAGCTGCAGTGACCCAGAATCGGGATCTCCTTTTGCAGCCTTCTGATAGGCAAAGTGAATGGGGAGGCCAGATTCACTTAACAATCATATCACTAACTAGCTGAATACCCATGCTCCGCTACGAAACTATGCGATCGGGCTTGATAAATCAACAGCTTGAACATTAATGAGTAGTTACGATCGGCCTCTCCTCTTCTCTCCCTCAGCCTTGCCCCACAGAAGCCTCCCCTATCCTATCCCCTGCTGCTGCTGTGAAAGTAAAACTGAAACTGAAATGCCTCTCCTCTGCTTTTGTTTTGCATTTGGAACAGATTTCTTTTCAGGTGGTGAGAGGGACTAGAACTTCTTAGCATCAGGAGTTAGCATGTTTGGAAAGTGAAACAGTATTTGCTGTGTGAGCAAGAAGGAGACAGGAAGGAGCCTGGCCGTGGCTTAGCTCAACTGTTCTGTAGTAAAGCTGCTTGCTGCTGTGAAAATAAAACAAACTGAAAGTCCTCTCCTCTGCTTGTGTTTTGCATTTGGTGGGGAGGGAGAGTAAACCTCCTTAGCATCAGAGCGTGTCAATAATAATATAGGAAATACTAATGCTGTGATGGTCATTTCAAAAAATCCTTTCTTAGTGAGTACCTAGAAACCAAGAGGAACATACGTGGCAAATTTCAAGTTTGTAGACTTTACGGTTCTGGAGATTTCGTGATTATGGCATGGGTGGTTTTCGCTTTTATATATATAGATTTAACAACTTCAGTGATTCACTTATCAACAGTGGCAAGAAAAGTTGTAACAAACAAACAAACAAACATGAGTCTAGCATGCTCAAAAAACTGGGCTTTGGGTCTTTTGGATGTTGTGCTAACTAGGTACAATTGGACAGTGTCACACTTGGTGTCAACCTCTTCTCCAAAGCACTTGAAGGCAGGGCAAGAAATGATGGGAACAAATCAAGAAGAGAAGCAACCTGAAACTAAGGAGGAATTTGCTAACAGTGAGAAAAGTGGAAAGACTTGCCTTCATCACTGGAGGTTTTTAAGGAGAGACCAGACAGCCATTTCTCTCAAATTGTAGTGCAATTTGCAGTGGGGCTGCCCCCTGGCAGGACAACACGGAAACATCCTGTGAGGGCAGGACCTACACACCTAATGGAGGGTGCTGGGTCATCCTGCTCCTTGGGAGTTGTGCCATCCCTGCCTCCTCCCTCTGGCCCCGAGGCCCCTCCCCCGTCTTGGGAGAAGCAACCACATCGTTTCAAGACCCAGCCAGCTTCCTTGCCTGCCTTCACACAACCCAGGTTCCTTTCAGCTGGAGTTGGAAGGGACCTCAGAGGTCTTCTAGTCCAACCCCCTGCTCAAGGCAGGAGACCAGCCCTTCAGCCCTTCTCCTGGCTTGGAAACCCACCCCCTCCCCAGGCCAGTCGCTCCCATCCCGGGCTCTTTCCTATGTGCTGTCAGGCGTCCCTTTGCAAAGGCCGCCTCCCCCAGCCCCTTCACGGCTCCACTTTTTCCTTCCTGCTCCCCCTCCCCCCTCCTTTAAAGCATCTGATTTGCTAAGCCCAAACTTCTCTCCAATGATGAGGTGCTTTGGGGGGATCTAGGCTCCCCCTTCTGGCTGGATGAAGAACAGCAGCCACTCCCAGCGGGCAAGAGAGGAAGAAACCCAGCAATGTTTTGGGGTGAGGGGAGAATGGGAAGAGGTGCCCCTCAGCTGGGGAAGGGGTGATGGAGAAAGGAGGAAATAAGCTGCAAGCTCCTCCCTCCCTCTGTAGCTCTGGCTCCCCCCCCTCGCCACTCGCATATGCAAAATAGGAGCGGCCCCAGAGCAGCCATGAAAAGCCCCTAACCCTCCCAGGGCAAAACCCACCGAAAAGCTCAACTCTGCCGGTGCAGGTCCAGCCTCCCCTGGGCTGACCTTTGCCCTTGGCCTAGGACCCCTCCCGATGGTGTCGCCGACAGAAGGCCTGTTTCCTGTGGGTGGCCAGCAGGGGGCACTAGAAGGCCACCAAACAGCGGCTCCGGGGTCTGGGAGGGGCTGGTGGGGTGGGGTCTTCACAAAGGCAGCCCTGGGGAGCATCTGCCTTTTTCTCAGGGCTTGAGAAGGAAAGCGCTGGAATTCACTGAAGCAGAGTCTTCCACAGGTGGAGATCAGATCCTGTATGATTATGATGATTAGATTTCCATCCCATCTTCTCTGTGTTTCTGAACTGAAAGCAAACAAATCTAATTCTGCCTCCACTTTTCCCCACAACCACCCTTTGAGGTGGGTTGGGCAGGCTGGCCCAAAGTCACCACGATGCAAAAAAGATCTTGAGACGGTAGCCAGAGTGCCAAGAAGAGCAATCACTGCTTAAAGGCCTGGAGACTAAAATTCACGAAGAACGGTTGCAGGATTTGGGTTTGGCCTTTCTGGAGGAAAGGAGGACTCGTCTAGGGGGACATGACAGCAGCCTTCCGGTATTTGAGGGGCTGCTCCAAAGAAGAAGAGGGGGGGTCCACCTGTTCTCCAAAGCCCCTGAAGGCAGGAGAAGCAGCAATGGATGGAAACTGATCAAGGAGAGAAGCAATATGTAAATGAAGCCTCAGTCATATCTAAAAGGGCTAAATGGTGGTCTTGGAGGATCTCTCATCAAGCCCACCCAGGTCAGGGATCCACCACCACCATCCAGTCAGTCCCATTCTTGAAGACGGGAAGTCCAGCTCAAGGCTGCCCTTGTTTCCCCTGGAGTTGTTCCACTGCAGCTGTGAGCAGCCCTGCCCCCTTCGGACTGTGGGGCAGCTTTCCCATCTCCCCCACTCCAGCTCCACCCCACCGTCTGGGCTGCTGTCTTGGGCAATGGTGGTCTTCCTGTTTAGCCTTCCTTCCTTCCCCCACTTTTAATTCTGGCCACCCCCAAGCCCCCTCCCCATTCAGCTTTGCCCTTTCTCTGGATGAGCCCACCTTATGGTCCTCCCTTGGAAGCAGCCTGAGGAACAGAGTCCTGGTGAGCATGGCCAGGAGGGAGGGGTGCTGTGGAAAAGAAGAGGCGATGGGAGGGAATATCACATACACACCCAAACACACACACGCACAGAGTCACACACAAACACACACCCCTTCCTTTCTCTTGGTGGCTACGGGTGGCTTGGCTCCTGCGTGGGCCGGCCAAGAACAGGGAAAGGTCATTGATTAACTGGCTCCAGTGCCAGAAGGTCCTGGATGCCTCTAAAGCTGTCCTGTTCCCAGGCGCCTTTTAATGATTGAGGCGCCTCAATTGGGGTTAATAGAGGCTTCCATAATATATATATATATATTCTGTTATTAATTAAGCTGTGGCAAAGCCAGCCAGGCTGCCCAGTTCCTCTCCTTGTTCCCCGATCCCCACGGAAGGGCATTTCTTTGCGTTCCCTCCCCCTTGGCTCCCCATGGGCAGGGGGTCTCCCGTTGGGTGGGAGAGGGCAGTTAGTTTCTCATTTCCACAGCTCCTTCAGGGGTCCGGAGGGATGAGGAGAGTAGCCGAAAGCAAGCAGGACCACCAGTGCCCAGACCCCCCTCCCTGCTCTTGAAGGCGGTCCTTCTCCTCTCCTGAGCCACTATCTGGAGGGGCCTCACTCTGTCCCCTCCCTCAAAGAAGCTGCTCAGCCACAGGGTCCACCAGGCTGGCCAGCACCTCCAAAGAGGGCGGGTGGCTGTAGCTCTGCCCCCCTTTGGGTTTCTAGACATTGTGGGGGGGGGTTATGTCTGGGCCCCAGAGAAAGGAGGTCACAGCCTCCCAGCCAGACATTTTCCCCCAGCATAGGGAGTCTCAATTTATCACCACAACTCAGCCCCCAATTTCTGTTGCGAGATAATTGTGAAGTGAGTTTTGCGCTTTTTTGCGACCCTTTTTGCCACCGTTGTTAAGTGAATCACTCAACAGTAAATTAGTCATACGGTTGTTAAGGAAACCCGGCTTCCCTGTTGACTTTGCTTGTCAGAAGGTTGCAAAAGGGGGATCACGTGATCCCGGGACACTGCGGCCGTCATAAATAGGAGTCAGTTGTCAAGCATCTGAATTGTGATCACGTGACCATGGAGATGCTGCAATGGTCGTAAGTGTGAAAAACAGTCATAAGTCAACTTTTTCCCCTCCCTCAACCAATGGTTCTTAAGTCGAGGACTGCCTGTATATTGGGAATAAAAGGAGTCCAGGGGTGGACATAACATTCCCTCAGAACGGCCTCCTGGCATCCCCCCTCCCCCGCCTGCCCCTGCTTGACCCGCTTGGCTCCTCCCTGGGCAACCAAGCGAAGGAGAGAGAGAGAGTGTGGCCAGTCTGGGAGCCTGAGGGGGAGAATTGGGGAGGGGGGAGGAGGGTCAGTGGTTTGACCGGCCTTGTAAGCAACTCTGCTTGGACTTTCCCCTCTTCCAGGGCCTGTTAATGAGAACCCAGGACAGAGCAGCTGATGGCTGGAGGGCCCCCTCCCTCTTACACACAGACAGACACAGACAGACAGAGAGACCAAGGAGTCCTTGTTCCAGCTGACCGCTCAGAGGGGGAGAAACTGCTTGTTCTTCAGACTGTGTGAAAACAAGTTTAGTCAGGCTGATGAAGCACAGGTTTTACCGCTTTCCCCCACTGGAGGGCAGTGTGCTCCGCAACCCTTTGTTGGCCCTGTTTGGAATCCAGAGCCTGTTCCTGGAACTCTCCTGCCAAGACCTGCAGAGAAAGAAGCCCAGGTGAGTTCAAAAGGAGACCGGTGAGCTCATTTTCTGGGAAAGCAACAATTATCGGCCTGACTCAGGAGCTGGCTTTTTTGGGGGTGGGGTGTGTGTGTGTATCTGTCCTTTGCAGCCCCTCCCATTCATTGGCTCCGCTCTCTGCAGAGTAGAAGTGCAAGGCTGCTTGTGGCCACAAAGTCCCTTGGCAAGACTCCCCTCTCAGTTCTCTGGGACTGCAATCAAAAGCCCCCGCTGCCCCTCAGGGCTCCGTAATGCCTGCCCCCTGCTGCCCCCTTAGTGGTTGCATTCCTGCCCTTGGGAGCTTCATCCTTTGTCTGGTGAACTGAGTATTTGGTCTCCTCTTTGCCTCCTTTCCCCAGGCTGAACCTACCCAGCAACCACTTTTCATGGGTCTCCAGACCAAATGCAATCCAGGGTCTCCTGTTTCACAGAATCCTGGGGCTGGAAGGGAACTATCCCAGGCAGATGGCTGTCCAGTCTCTTCTTCAAAACCTCCAGGGATGGAGCACCCACAACTCCAGGGGGGAGGCTGTTCCACTGATGAATGGTTCTCACTACCAGGAAATTCCTCCTCTAGCACTGATGATGTTCCCTAGTTGGGTAATGAAACGCCTGCAAGAAAACCACCCATCTCAGAGAGCACCAAGGGCCCCTCAATTCCTCCTCTTTCGTAACGTCACTGCCCACATCTGGACACGGCACTTCAGATTCAGTCCAACTGGACATCATGATTGTTTCTCCAGCAACCACACTGTGCTACAGGCCCCGAGTTAGCTTCCAATGTGCCAAGACTTTGAGATAT